ATACACACACACACACACACACACACACACACACCAACTGATGTCGTACATTAATTCTGTAGCATTGTTCTTCACACATAATGGTAGATTTATCAGTTCAAAGTTTGTTTGTTGGTTACACAAAGGGCTGTTATCAAGAAATACTAGAGAAATAAAAATTTAATTCCTCTTGGTACTAAATATTTTTATTTTCAAATATTTGTGGAACACCTACCCTTACCAATGTGAATATTATATAATAAAATATTTGTGGTTTCAGATAATTAGAGAATCAATTAATTTTGTTTTATTCAAATTCAGGTTCTTCTTGTATGTGTTTTTGGCAGCCTGTGGTGTTCTTTTGCTGGTTGGTGTGCAACAGCTCTTTGCAAACATGGGGGTAAGTGTTATTTCTAAACTGTAAAAAATATAACTGACTTGCTTGCCAGAAGGAGAAGATTGTTTTTTCTTTACAAATAAAAACTAAACAAAAAACTTTTTTAAAGTCTCTGAAGTTACAGAGTTTAAAAAGTTTACTATGTCAACTATCTGGGCCAAGGTTTACAATAGTACCGTTATCGGTACTCGAGCATCTCTAATCATGTGACTTGAGCAGTTAGAAATTCAACTATTTTTCCCAGTGTGTTCACATGGGAAAACGTTTTTCACAGCAAACCAAATTGTCAATTATCTGTAAGCCTATGTGGTATGATAACTATGGCAATGAATCAGTTGAAATCTAGGCTTTCTATTGGTTAGAAATTTAATGGGAGTCAGTCTCAGAAAAATCTATTAGCAAATTCTAAATTAGAGCATGTTAGAGGTAGGCATGGAAAGTGGTTTCTGAATTTTCATTGATTGCTCTTTAGTCACATAAGATTGAAGAATATATAAATGTAGCTTCAGAATATCAATGATAGAAAATAATTGACATTACATTTCGTAGTTTACCAGTGGGTGGACAAAAAAATCAAGAAGAGGAGATAGCTCAAGAACAAATATCCAAATTCTCACACCAGGGTTATAGATATTTCCTTATACAATCAAGAACTTAAAATTTGTATAATATTAAAATTTTATTTATTATCTATGGTTTAATGCTAAGTATGTTCGTATATAATGATAATTAAGTAGTTTAATTAAATTTTGAATGTAACTCACTAAAACTTCGTGACATGCGCAGTTTGACCTGCCTGCATGCTAAGGGTTAATCAGTGCAATCAGTCATGTATTCTTACAGAGTGTGGCAGTCACAAGTTTCCCATATTTCATGTTATTGCCGATTTTCACGGTGAGATTTGCTTATCAACTGAAGTATGAACTCAAAACTACCACATCAAACATTTATAATTCTGTGAAAAGCAAAGCTGAAATAGCAGAAGAGGCGTTCGGTCAAAACTCCGAAGATGGGACTTGTGATAACAGATATTATTCTCAACATATGATATACTATAAACTGGTACTGAATACAAACTCCTATCTGGGCTTATTTAATAATATCAAATGCTAGGGGAATAGAAAAGGGTAAAAGGAGAATAATGCTTGTTAAGAATGCTTTTCTTGATATGAAAGCTATACTGACAAACAAAAAATATATCAATAGAAGTAAAAAAAAAAGTCTTACAATGTTACATCAAGCCCATACATATAGACAAATGATTTTGAGAGAAAACTTGAAGCAGTCAAAATGTGGTTCTTAAGAAGAATGCTGCAAATAGTATGCAATAAGAAGAAAAGTAATGAACAGGTATTGATACAGGGCAATACAACATGCGATATCAGCAAGATAGAAGGTAAGAGAAGTAAGAGAGAATAAAGATGATTGATGGACTCGCAAAATGATTAGGAACCATGAATAACAACCCAGAATTGTTGAAGAACACCATGGACGAAATGGAAAGTCGAGACTGTCAATGCCTGCATGTAAATGTGACACTGGAGAAGAATAAGTTACAAATTAAATTATCCTCATAGTTTTCATTCTAAACTAGTTTGTAGATGAAAAAGAAAGATAATTTTGTTATAATATTTGAATAAAAGGATTACAATATAAATATTATTACAATAATTTAATCTTTGCTTTTGTTTGCAGAAGAAAAAACCTGCTGCCAAGCCTAAAGTAGAAATGGGAACCCAGAATGTGAATGATGTTGATTATGACTGGCTACCAAAAGAAACACTCAATGAACTCAGTGAGTATCGTGACTTTGTTGTAACTGGTATATCTGAATGAAAAAAAATAAAGATTGGCACATCTGCTAAAACCATAACATGGATTTCAGAAAAATTGGATATAGTTAAAAAGTTCTCCTAGAAATATTAAAGTTGTCATGAAAATGTTTTTCTTTAAACATTTACCAAAAACAACCTTTTAGTTATGGCATTGGTTCTCTTTTCCCAATCCCAGACCCCTCTCCAAAGTTCTCATTCTGCTGCAGACTACCACAAACTTGTAATTATTGGTAAATCCTACTAACAACAATGGGGGTTTTCTAGCACTATGATTATAGCTAAGTCCTACTGACAATGATGAGGGTTTTCTAGCACTATGATTATAGGTAAGTCCTACTAACAATGATGAGGGTTTTCTAGCATATGATTATAGCCAAGTCCTACTAACAACGAGGGTTTTAAAGCATATGGTTATATCCAAGTCCTATTAACAACAATGAGGGTTTTCTAGCATGTGAGTATAGCTGTCCTAATAACAACAATGAGGGTTTTCTAGTATATTATTATAGCCAAGTCCTACTAACAACAATGAGGGTTTTAAAGCACTATGATAACTGATATCTTGCAAACTCCCATGAACTTAGGGATCCACAGGCCACAGATTGGGCATTAACACTATATCAAGGTTGGCTTGTTTGTTATCAGTCTTATCAGTCAATGTGCACTCAAATTGTGTATACCACTGAATCTTCTGGTACTGGATCAGAGATGATAAAATAGATCATTAACAAACACATGCTGTATGACACGGAGTTTATAAAAAGTTTTACTTAATCCCAAATTAGTAAAGTAAAGTCTTTTATACTATTCTACAAAAGTTGTAGTAGTAATTCATTTAATTGTTTTAGATAAATCTCCAAGGAGGTCTCCCAGACAAAGGCGGACCAAGCGAGGCACAGGCTCTGTAGATGAGTAACACCAAGTTTTTAAGATATGTTACCTGAACAAACTAAACCTCAATTACTATAATGCAATACAGGGAGAAGTAACGGTGGATTAATAAAATCTGTGATTTGTAATTCTCAAAAATTGTCTGTAAAGTGTACACAGCTTTAAGCAAAAATTTGGACAAAGCTTGTGAAATTATAACAGGAATAGTTTACAGAAAATAATATTTTACAAGAAACATCTGTTGGCTAATTGATATTGTAATTTTTTTTAATGAAATCATTTTTTTAACTTTAAAAAATTCAAGAATATTCTAGTTTTTCCAGTTTGGACAAAATTCATGTTTATTGAGAGCAGAATCTTTATTTACTTAAGGAAAATTGTAATTTAAATGAAGCTATTTCATAATCCTAGCCATACTGAAAAGTTTTTTAATAATAAAGGGAAACACCAGTGTGGTTGTGTTTATGAAATTATTTTCATCAAATGAAATAATAACGTGTGATTAACAAAATGTTAAAATTCTAAGTCATTTAGTTTAATTTAATGTTAGTTATCAACAGAAATGTACCAGTGGGTTAAATGTAAAATCTCCCAAAGTAACATCCAGATGTAACATAGATTACATATATATATATATGCAAATATACAACTTGTGTTTGATTCTTACAGTAATATTATAAGTGAGCAAATGCAAAGCATGCATTGTCTAAATTTAATGTTAGTTATCAACAGAAATGTACCAGTGGATTAAATGTAAAAATCTCCCAAAGTAACATCCAGATGTAACATAGATTACATATATATATATGCAAATATACAACTTGTGTTTGATTCTTACAGTAATATTATAAGTAAGCAAATGCAAAGCATGCATTGTCTAAATTTAATGTCTCAAGGTATTCTTTGGGTATTGTTGAAAAATACAACATCAAAGTTGAGGCATGTACATATTAACTGGAAAATACTATTTCAAAGTAGACGTAATGTCTATCATTGCTAACCATGTGAAATTGATGAAATGCGAGTCATTTCATAGTTATTTACTTCATCATTGTCTAACAGATAATTCATGGTGAATAAGATTTTGATATAGATTTGATATGAAAATTGTAATTTTTCATTATTAAAATAATCTAAAAACTTTTTATGCTTGGATGTGTATTTGTATTTAATACTAAAATAATCTAGTGTTTCATCAACACATGCACTTATACTCTTTCGCTTGATGTATAGCTATAAAAAATGTCATGCTTAGTAGTAGAACAAACACCCTTTATAAGTAAAAATTTCATCAATTAATGAAAAATATCAGTTACAATCTTATTTTTTGAGACTCTAGGTTTAATGGTTTAGATTATTAAACAAAGAATTCAACTTTTTTGTTTCCACAAACTATCCAGTTAATATTATGCCCACCATTAAAGGAATTATTACTGAAATCACCAGTAACTCAACTCACTAGTTACAAAGATTTTAAAATGGTTACTACTCATCAATTAAAACTATATTTGGAGGTGAAATTAATAATGTTCAAGTTATTAGTTTTCATGAGCAAGTGTTATGCAATTACTTTTCATGTTACAGGGATCGTATTTTCCGGTTAATTATAATAATTTTCTTATAACTGTTATATGTGAAATGTACCCAAAATAATTCTTAGCAGTAAGCTAAATAATCTTTCATGCAAAGAAAATATATTGTGCTAGTACAGTTTCCTGAATTTTATTTGATGATTTTTGTAATGTAAATACACAGTTTGTGTGTGTGTGTATATATGTGTGGGTTAAAAAATGTATTAATTTTGTTTGGCTTTATGCTGTTATTTGAGTATGTTGTGGAAGTGAATGAGATGGACGTGTATGATTGTCTTGTAATATAACCCATAATTTTGATTTTTCTAAGCAATACAACATATGTTTAGATAAACGTAAAGATTACCATGTAGTACATGAAGGTGATAAAGTTCAAGTCTGATTAACACTTACACTGCTTGACTTGACTGCTCACAACAAATGATTTGGGAAGTCCTAACGTTGTACTGGACAAGTGAAGAACATTTCCTGTCATTTTGACAGTTCACTATTACTAGTTATTTTTTACATAGAACTCATAAGAAATCTGAAAATAATATACAGTATTAATAATCTCCAGTTTATGTTAACCCATTTCCTTGTAGCTCTGTTCATCATTCTGGGAACTATTGGCTTATAAGTGAACACATGCTTTAATTGACAATTACAATACTTAATTTTGATTGAAATATTGTTCTTGCAGTTATGTGATTATAGCAAATGCTTTTATTTTCATTTGATTTACTCAATGATTGAAATGTATGGTTTGAATAAATGTGTTAAAGAAATTTGCTTGTTTTTTTTTCGCCTATAGGAAACATCAGTTTTTAAATTTCTTTATTTAGAACAATAGCAGTTTTTACAAGTTTTGACATTGTTATAATACAACAAAAATGTGCAACAAGTGTCTATTAAACTTGGGCAGGTAAAAAAATATCTACTTGCCTTATAGAGCAAATTATCTAAAGAGTTTAGCATCAAGTAATTTACTAATGAAAAACCTCTATGCTTACTGTAGCTACTCACTCAACTCTCGTACATACTTTTTTTTCATTGTATCATTATTTACAATTGTTAGTTATGTGGTACTTATAAGTGTAGATTGCACATGATAAGAAGCAATTAAAGTTTGGATACATTTTTAAGTGACTGAAAAGTAATATAGCTACAAAACTATTATTAATTTTTGTATTTAAACTAAAAGGAAATCAACAATAAAAATATGAAGTCGTTGTTACTACTGTCTCCTTACATACATTATTAATGAAATTTGTAATCTTTTTGAGCAGTCAATTTTAAAGTTGTTTTTACTTCAAAAAGTTAATACAAGATTTTTTGAATTGGTATGAAAAGTAGAATGCTTCACTACACACCAGTCTTTTCATGGTGACTTTTATTGTTTACATGTAACAAAACAAAGAAAGATATTAAGACAGTTTGAAGTAACCTGTGCAAATGGCATACTTTTATAAACATAACTTTTTTAATTTTGCAAAACACTATACACTTACAACGTTTTACCACAGAAATTCTACAGACACCTGAGAAGTAAAGTACTGACAATAGTTGCAGTGAGAGTTTATATTTACATTCTTCACATCAATAATGATAATGAAAAGAAGTTTTAAAGAATTATATACACACAGATTGGTTTAATCATGTACATTTAATAATAATAATCTACCATAATTTTTCATTTAGTGTAGTTGTTAGACAGGTTTTTACTTCCAAGCTACATAATGTTTAATGATATTTACAAAAGACTACCAGAGAAATCATCTGTATTGTTTTCTTGTACAGTGTCACCAGTGGCTTCTTCAGTTGGAACAGTAGAATTAATCACCGTTTCAGGAGTTTGAGCTACGGCTGCTGTTTGCAGACTCCTGGCAAGTTTGGCATACTGAAAAGTAATGTTTCATTAAAACTGCAGTTCTTTTCTGACAAAAAAGCTATGACTGCATTTTTGATGATACAAAAAAAATTTGCATGGATGAAATGCTTAAATAGGTCATACCAGTCTTCTTCCATCATGATATTATTAAAACCTCAATATTAATTATATTTAATCTGATGCTTTTCATAACTTGTCAAGAATCATTTGACTATCAAAATAAATGTTTTCTCTAATATTTTTTTTCATTAATGAATTAACAGTTTCATAATAATAAAATAAACATCAACCCAGCTCATTCATTTTTTTCACACCACTTGAGACAAACGTGTATCTTGTGCTGTTTTAGAGTATGTTCATAAGAAACGTTTAGTCAATTGAAGTGTAAACGCTAAACAGAATACCATTTTCATAACAAGTTTAATAGAAAATGAAAATCAGATTAAAACATCTTTCTCAGTACAGCTTTCTTTTAGATCAGTAATTAACATTTGTCAAGAAATTTCACTGTTGTACATGGGTTGGTCAACTTCCAAAACTTGACTCCATTTTTACTCTAACACTTTAAGTTCAGTGCTGAAAAAGGGAAAAAATTACTAGTACCATATTTTGAGATTTGCATAATGATCTGGGGTCCCCCACTGTTAAGTTTTTTGAACATCTGGTGTCTGTAGAAGCAATTTTATGGAGTTCTTGAAGCTTGATGGATTCCAGGTTTTGTCAAGTTTTACTGATTTATTTTTGTAATAGGCTGATAGATAACATTTTCACCCTTGAACTTTTAAACAAAGTTTGTTTATTACGTTTTGAACTGTTATGAATAACGATACATTTTTAGATATGTAAGGTTCAATAGAAAACATTGAAAGTTATTATTATTATTACGAAAAAATCAACAGTTTTCTTTGCACGAGCGACAATAATGCTGAAAATGACAGCATCTACACAAAAAACCATTGATATGATAAATCCCAGGAATAATAATTACCATATAGTACTGACTTATTTCAAGCAATGTTTATGTACAATAGGTGAAAGCTCAATACACCATAAATATGTCTGTCACTAATTGCTACAAGCGTCGTTAGCCAATTTATTATTTAGTCATATAGGAATTCCACAGTTCTTTCAAAAACAATAACTTTATATATATTTTTCTTTAAAGATGGTGTGATTTTTAAAGTTAAAGGGTTCCTGTCACCACAGTTAGAATATAAGCGTTCACCTAAACCTCTATAAGTTTTCACAGAAACAACAAAACATTCTTGAAGTACAGTTTAGTATGATGGTATTAATTCCAACTAAACCTAAGCCTTGAATGTATTAAATAATTTAGACTTTTTAATATTATGTAAGCTATTAAAACACTGTGCAGTTATTCATCAAAATGTTTATGATAACATCTCAAATACATACACAGTTAAGGAAGAAAACATCACATACCTCCACATCCATATGTTTTATAAATGGATGGTTCAATCCTTCACGAAGTAATTCAGGATCTCCTTCATCATAGCCTTCCAAAATCTTTTCCAGTGTAATAAGTTCTTCTTGTTCAAGGTAACTACAGTTAAGAAAATATGTGAGCAAAATGGAAATGTTATTAACAAATCGTACATTAAGTACCAGTATGGAAGGTTACAGAACAAGATTATAAATGTGATATTATAGTATTGGAGATATTTCAAATATACCCCACAATAAACAGAAATGTTATGGTGACCTACATATCCAGCAGATTACAGACCAGGCACTGGCAATATTCTAACTCACAGACCAAGTAAAGTACTAGACATGATCTAAGTATCCACAGATAACATATCAGGTATTGGTGATACTCAAACTAACCACAGATTACATAAAAATAGAGGTGTTTTAACTAACCATAGTAAACAAACCAAGTACTAGAAATAGATAACAACAGATCAAGTACTAGACATATATCTAACTACAAGTAACATATCAGCACTGGAAATATTACAGCTTGCCACAAATAACAACAGGCTAAGTACTAGACACATTTTAACTAACAACAGTAAACAGACCAGGTACTGGAGATATTTAACTAACAACAGTAAACAGACCAGGTGCTGGAGATATTCTAACCAACAACAGTAAACAGACCAGGTACTGGAGATTTTTAACTAACAGCAGTAAACAGACCAGAAACTGGAGATATTCCAACTAACAACAGTAAGCAGGCCAGGTACTGGAGATATTCTAACTAACAACAGTATACAGACCAGAAACTGGAGATATTCTAAATACAACAGTAAACAGACCAGGTACTGGAGATATTTAGCTAACAACAGTAAACAGACCAGGTACTGGAGATATTTAGCTAACAACAGTAAACAGGCCAGGTACTGGAGATATTCTAACTAACAACAGTAAACAGACCAGGTGCTGGAGATATTCTAACTAACAACAGTAAGCAGGCCAGGTACTGGAGATATTCTAACTAACAACAGTAAACAGATTAGGTACTGGAGATATTCTAACTAACAACAGCAAACAGACCAGGTGCTGGAGATATTCTAACAAACAACAGTAAACAAACCAGGTACTGGAGATATTTAACTAACAACAGTAAAAAAACCAGAAACTGGAGATATTCTAGTAAACAGACCAGGTATTGGAGATATTTAACTAACAACAGTAAACAGACCAGAAACTGGAGATATTCCAACTAACAACAGTAAGCAGGCCAGGTACTGGATATATTCTAACTAACAACAGTAAACAGACCAGGTAATGGAGATATTCTAATAAACAAAAGTAAACAGACCAGGTACTGGAGATATTCTAACTCACAGACCAAGTAAAGTACTAGACATGATCTAAGTATCCACAGATAACATATGAGGTATTGGTGATACTCAAACTAACCACAGATTACATAACAATAGAGGTGTTTTAACTAACCATGGTAAACAAACCAAGTACTGGAAATAAAGATAACAGATCAAGTACTAGACATATATCTAGTAACATACCAGTACTGGAAATATTACAGCTTGCCACAAATAACAACAGGCTAAGTACTAGACACATTTTAACTAACAACAGTAAACAGACCAGGTACTGGAGATATTTAACTAACAACAGTAAACAGACCAGGTACTGGAGATATTTAACTAACAACAGTAAACAGACCAGGTGCTGGAGATATTCTAACTCACAACAGTAAACAGACCAGGTACTTGAGATATTTAACTAACAAGAGTAAACAGACCAGAGACTGGAGATATTTTAACTAACAAAAGTAAACAGACCAGAAACTGGAGATATTCTAACAAACAACAGTAAACAGAACAGAAACTGGAGATATTCTAACTAACAACAGTAAACAGACCAGGTACTGGAGATATTCTAACTAACAACAGTAAACAAACCAGAAACTGGAGATATTCTAATTAACAACAGTAAGCAGGCCAGGTACTGGAGATATTCTAACTAACAACAGTAAACAGATCAGGTACTGGAGATATTCTAGCTAACAACAGTAAACAGATTAGGTACTGGAGCTATTCTAATAAACAGTAGTAAACAGACCAGATACTGGAGATATTTAACTAACAACAGTAAACAGACCAGATACTGGAGATATTTAACTAACAACAGTAAACAGACCAGATACTGGAGATATTCTAACTTACAACAGTAAAC